ACACCATTGACTGGTGCCGCTGTGCTGGAGGGACTTGCCCAGGTTTATGCTTGGAGTTAGGTGGCAATTGGTTCTTGACAATGAGCACTGCTGAGGGCAAACAAATGAGGTTGAGTTGAAATAAAGGAAAATATTCTGAGTAGGGAATTGCTGTTTTAGAGACAGTGGCTTTTTAAAGAATGTGTATACAGCTTAGCTTTCCGTAGATGTACTGCTAAGTAGAAACAGTCAATAATAATAATTAGGGGCTCACTTAGAAAATGTTAACCTGCTTTTCATTTTCATGAGTTAATGTTACAGTGTCTGGGGTACTGAACTCTACTTGCAGCCATTTTTCAAATGGTTATGAGCGGATGCAAAATATAGCCATTCGTGTATCTAATGATATGAGATAAGTAATTATTCACATGCCTACAGTTGTAGGCTGCAGTCATATACTGTACCATTAAATATGAAGTTTATCCATCCTTATTTCTGTCTGCTGAGCATTAGGCCTTTTGGAGGGTTAGTGAAGGGAGCTTTTGATTGTTCTTACTGATTGTTCACATGGTATATATATACATTTTTGCAATTTCTATGACTCTGAAAAAGCCTCAAAAATTTCTCAGAGTAATTGAGAACAACATAAGGGTCAAATCAAGAAAGAGTCTGTTAAAACAATTGAGGTCTCTATCATAGTTTACCCTTGCAGAAAGAATATTTACTAATGAAAAGTTTAATGTCTCAATTTTTTCCTTTTTCTCAGGGAGTACTTAATAATATATGATATCTTAATTCTAATTTTTTAAAAACAATTTCTTGTAGGCCACAATTGCAGCCAGCAGACAGGCAGGCTCTCCAAACACAAGCTCCCCTCAGCAGACAGCCACCACACAGGCTTCAGTAAGTAGAGTGATTCATGATCGTTTGTTTGGATACTTTCTTGATTAGGAGTGGATATTTTCATACCTAAGTCTGGCATTTTGGAGTCTGGAAAAAGTGTTTGCTGTGTGGGTGGAGAATAATATTAGAAAGAAAAATGAAAAGTATCTATTTTGGAGAAATAATGGTTAGTGTGTGTGAATGAAGACATTTTTTTAAAAAAA